AAAGTGTGAGCAGACAAGCTGCTTGTTCATTGCGTGCATGAAAATATAAAAATGTTCAAAATAATGTACACTGAAAGGAAACTCCAGTAGCAATAGATGTTTTTTTTTTCATACCGTATTGGCCAGCACAACATAAAAAAATTGCTGTGTGCACCTTTAAGCTAAAATATGAGAAATGTTTTTTTAAATTGGAAAAAATACACACTTCACCTTTGACTTTTTTTTTTTCAATTATCAACAAAACCTAATATTGCAACCTTAAATGCATACTTTTCATTCACATAATTTTGTCTTCACATATTTTGTCTTTCAGAATTCAACAGAAGGAATCAAGGTCAAACGTTCTAAATGGTATTCCTTTCAATAGTGTCATATACATTTTTTATATAGCATGATCCAATAATTTTTTATTCTAACTATGTCTTATGTCAAACTTCACAGGGGATCTGATTAAGGCATGTCGGTATAAGAGGATGTTAAGGAACAGGTGCCAGTGTATATTTGAGGGGAATGAAGAGCACAGCGGCCCCTCTCTGCTTAACAACATCTATACGGAGGTCTACATCACTGATGGTGGAAGCAGTGAGCACACCAGTGAACATGAAATCAGGCAGATCGAGACAGCATCGAAACATCCAGCCACATGGGATGCACCAATCAAGGCTAATGATATCTTTAAAACTTCTCCTGGATCTGCTAAACAAATGCGAACTGTGCTAACCAAAGGAATTGCTGGCATTGGGAAAACAGTGTCTGTGCAAAAGTTCACACTAGATTGGGTTGAGGACAGAGCCAACCAGGACATCCACATGATATTTCCACTCCCTTTTCGTGAAATGAATGTAATTAAAGAAAAGAAAATGAGTCTGAGAAACATTCTTGAGTGCTTCTTCAATCTAAAGATAGATCCAGAAGTGTTACACTCAGACAAATACAAGGTAGTCTTTATCTTTGATGGACTTGATGAATGTCGGTTTCCTCTGGATTTCCAAAACAACAGGAGTTGCTCTAGTGTGACAGAATCAGTCTCAGTCAGTGTCCTACTGACAAACCTCATCTGCAAGAACTTGCTTCCTTCTGCTTTAGTCTGGATAACCTCACGACCAGCTGCAGCAGGTCAAATACCACCTGACTTCATGGACCGTGTGACAGAGGTGCGAGGTTTCAATGACTCCCACAAGGAAGAATACTTCAAGAAAAAAATAAGTGATCCAGACTTGTCCTCCAGGATAATCTCTCACTTGAAGTCTTCAAAGGTCCTTCACATCATGTGCCACATCCCAGTGTTCTGTTGGATATCAGCTACAGTTCTCGAAGGAATGTTTTGTGATTAGGAGAGTGGTGAAATTCTCAAGACTCTCACGCAAAAGTACGCACACTTCCTGATGTTCCAGATCAAGCACGGGAGTCACAAATATGATGAGAATTCCGAAGCCGGTTTGAAGTGGGATAACCAGACCACATTGTTGCTTGGAAAGCTGGCATTTCAACAGCTTGAAAAGGGTAATTTATTGTTCTATGAAGAAGATTTGAGGGAATGTGGCATAGAACTTAACGTTGCATCAGTGTATTCAGGAGTTTGTACCCAAATCTTCAGAGAAGAGGCAGGGCTACTTCAGGAGAGGGTCTTCAGCTTCATACACGCACGTATACAGGAGTTTCTGGCTGCATTGTATGCATTTCTTGTGTTTGTCAACCATAAACGGAATGTCCTCAGTCAGACGACAAATGCTAAAATCATAAGTGCTTTCAAAAAAATGTCAGTGCAAGAATTTCTGAAGTGTGCTGTGGATAATGCTTTAGCAAGCGACAATGGACATTTGGACTTTTTCATTCGCTTCTTGTTGGGACTGTCTCTTGAATCCAACCAGACTCTTCTTAAGGGACTCCTTAATGAGGTGAGCGATACTGAAAGCAGAATACAAACGATTCAATACGTCAAGGAAAAAATCAGGGACCACCCTTCAGCAGAGAAGGCAATAAGTCTTTTCCATTGCCTAAGTGAACTGAAAGATTATTCTTTGGTTGAGGAAGTGCAGGACTTCATAAATTCACATGGTTTTAGTGGTGGAAAGCTGTCTCCGTCACGCTTTTCTGCTTTGGCTTACATACTGCTCACATCTGCTGAAGAACTGGATGTGTTTGACTTGTCAAAGTTCATTCATCCAAGCATGTCTTCAAATGAGGGGCTGTTAAGACTGCTGCCAGTTATCAAAGCATCCCGATCAGTTATGTAAGTATGTCATGCCAGAAACGTACTCTACCCAAGTATGTAAACACAGATGTGAATACTTAGTCAGCATATATTCCAAGAACATGGTACCTACTTAAAGGGGTCATATGATGTTGCTAAAAAGAACATTATTTTGTGTATTTGGTGTAATGAAATGTGTTTATGTGGTTTAAGGTTAAAAAAACACATTATTTTCCACATACTGTACATTATTGTTTCTCCTCTATGCCCCGCCTTTCTGAAACGTGTCGACTTTTACAAAGCTCATCGGTCTGAAAAGCAAGGTGTGCTGTGATTGGCCAGCTATCCAGTGCGTTATGATTGGCCGAATACCTCAAGCGTGTGACGGAAATGTTACGCCCCTACCATACTGTGATGCCTTGTCTGGCCGGAGCGATGATTCAAAAACATGAAAACCCATTATAAATGAGGCATTCGTTGCAACCAGTGGGGACATAATTATGGATTATAATGACTTAACCACATGTGACGACCCCGGGCTGGACTCCGCTTCGTGAAAGCCGATCCGGCGATCCACAGCGCAAAGTTGTTGAATTTCCTCAGCAACCAGCACGGATCAGCTCCAGGCATGACGAAGCAGATATCGTCCTCTTTTGGAAGGCCAAGCATGTTAGAACGAGCCGTTTCAGGTAGGCGTGGCTGACTCTTAACTTTTATAAAGAATATCTCTTTGGATTTTGAGACTTTAGTCTTTGCAACTTTACTGATCTTCTTTATGCACCAAGAGCTTGTAACACTCCAAAGAGAAAGGAAAAATTGAAATCGCATCATATGACCCCTTTAACCTGCTTTCTTTTTTTCCCATTAGATTGAGATGTTGTAATGTGACAGATAAAGGCTGTTCAGGCCTACTTAGTTCAAGTCTCTCATGTCTGAGAGAACTGGATTTGACTTCCAACAATCTTCAGGATTCAGGAATAAAACAACTTGCTGCCGGACTGGGGAATCCTCAGTGTAAACTAGAGACTCTGAGGTAGGAAGTGGTCTGTGCCTATGATATGGATTGTTGAAAAAATGTGCAGTGGCAAAAATGGCCAAATTACAAGTATCTATTGCATTTGATTATAAAAACTGTAAAATTTGTTAAATGTTGTGTAGAATTTAATGTACGTAAGAAAATAAAATGACAGTAGATAGTTAGTTGCTGCTTCCACGTGCCTGGCCAGAGGAAAATTTGGTTTAGAGACTCTCACATACATCATACATCAAAAGAGCTCTTAAGTTCTAAATGATTTTATTAAAAATAAAAAAATAGACACAAAGAAGACAACTGTGACATACAGTTTAGAGCTATACAATAAATGTAGATAGCTCAGCTAATTTGGTTTTGGAATGGCTGTCCATATTTTCCAGCCTTCGGCCCAACATACTTTAATAGACTTTTCCTGAGACAGTGTTGAGATCTATGTTAAAACTGTAGAAAACTTTGAGATTATCCTTTTCTTTTTCTTAGAAGAATCATTGAGAAACAGGAAACTTTAGCAAACGTCTATGAATCACACTGGTATGTAGAAGAAACAACAAATATATTTCATTTGTGATTTTTCTTTTCTTTCTTGTGGTTGTAGACTTTTCAGTTGCAGCATCGGTGAAAACGGCTGTGCTTCTTTGGCTTCAGCTTTGAAGTCAAACCCAGCTCACTTAATTGAACTTGATTTGACACACAACAAGCCTCGTGATACAGGTGTGAAAATGCTTTCTGATGTGCTAACAGATACAAGCTGCAAACTGGAAACACTAAGGTGGGTTCTAATATGTAATAAGTGGGCACTAAAATATATAACTTACACTTAATACTGGGTTTATTCTACAAACCCCTTGAGTCCTTTTAAAACGTCAGAGTTTTTGCTGGTAATCAGATAGTAATCCTTCAATCCCTCATGAATTTCTGTGGGACTGAGTTTCACTTTTGAACAAATGTCGAATGCAGATGTCACCGCAGTTGTAGAATTACACATTGATTTGGATAGACCATGTCCATGTAGTATCAAACGTTTTTTGCACTAAAAATAAGCACTACTTTTAACCACATCAAATGCATGAATTTCGTCAAGTCTACAATGTTAATTTGAGGGCATTTTTTTAGGTTGATGGCCTGTGAACTTACCAGGAAAAGTTGTGCGGCACTGGCCCAAGCACTTCAGTCCACCTCTACAAGCCTGAAACATTTAGATTTAAGTTTGAATGACCTCCAGGATTCAGGAGTGAATCTGCTCTGCATTGGTCTAAAGAGCCCTTCCTGCGAGCTTAAGACATTGAGGTATTATAATCAGACAAGTAGACAGTGTCCATGTGCTGAGTAACACACAACCCACTGCACATTAACATGATGCCGATAGATGACTGCTCTGATTCTGAGGAAATAATGTCACATGCTGTGTATCCCATGACGGTAGTTCATGATTGTCTCCCTCTACTATTTGCAGTCTATCAGACTGTAAAATTACAGCCTATGGATGTTCTGCATTGTCACCTGCTTTAAAGTCAAACCCATCACACATGAGAGAGTTGGACCTCAGCATTAACAACCTGACAGACTCAGGAGTGAAGCATCTGCTCCCTGTGTTTGAAGACCCACGTGTGCATCTAGAGAGATTATGGTAATAGGCCTCCAGTTTGTTTGTTAATCATGTAATGTACATCTCACAATTAACAAATGAGACTGGATGGACATTTTTTCGCTGTTTTTGTGCTTTTCTCAGGCTGAATAATTGCAGTCTCACACATAAAAGCTGTCGGATGATGGGTTATGTAAACAAACAACACTCAGGTCTGAGAGAGCTGAACCTCAGTGCTAATGCAATACTGGACTCAGGTTTGAAGCAGCTTTCAGTGGCACTTTGCCATCTTCTGTCAGGACTGCAGTCACTGAGGTAATAAAGATTTCCTAAATATTTTCAGTAATTAGTTATTTCAATTCAAACTAAATGAAGAAAATTCTTCTTCTTCATCATTATTATTATTGTGAACGGCAGCTTAAATTTCAAATTGAACCACATATTGAAATGTGAATCTGAATCTGAAAGTGAATCATATATTGAAAGGTGAATCTGTACACTACAGAAAATTTGACTGTTTTTACTTGTACAAAATATATGTCATTTAAAGTAATCTTGTTATAATTGCACGACCCTTTGCAGTGTAACATACTGTGGGCTTACGGCAAATGGGTGTGCTGTTCTGGCATCAGCTCTCAGATCTAACCAGACACAGCTAAAAGCACTGGATCTCAGAGGAAATAGACTGACGGATTCAGGAGTGAAGCCACTCTCACGTCTGCTGGAGGATCCACAACGTAAATTAGAAGAACTTGAGTAAGTATTTGAAACTTAGTATACAGACAGTAAGATGATAATTTACACCTAGTTTAAAAATTAGGTGTTATTATTTAAAAAAAAAAAAGCCAGGATTGGATTATTGTATATTATTTGGTTGTTTGCAACAATATTCAGGTGAATCTTAAGGAAATGTTTGGGCCATATTTCGCCCCGAAACAAAAAGACAGAAGTGGAAATTTAAAGATATTAATTGTGGTAATAAGAATGAAATATTATTGCATTACAGTAATGAGAAATGGGTAGAATGTGCTTAATTGTCACGTAAATAATTTCATAATGCAGAATATTGCAATGAAAAAGCCTAAAATAGATTTTATTTTCTTATGCAAGGTAGCTACCATTTCTTTGATTTTTCTTTAGGTTGGTCACAAAACATGACCCAGACACATTCTTGAGATTTAGTTTCTCTTTAATATTTATATTACAATATCCTAGTACAAATGGCTGATTTAAATGTCCACCTCACAGATTCATGGATGGAATCATATCCAAAATCAGGCACCTACGGATGACTCCCACAAACAGGATGCTCTACCTGAAAATCCAACAAAATCAAAAGAACAAAAAACAAAAGACGTGCGTATGCTTTAAAAAAATAAATATGTGACTCTGTTATTAGTTCATTTAGTGTAAGTTGGACAAGTTTGCTCACAGCTGTGTTACACCAGTCCAGTCAAGCAGACCTGAAAGAGAGCTTTATATTGGATCACTGGTTAAAGTGCGACATCTACGGTGACCGGGAGGGGAATTGTTCAGTTCACTTCATTTTGTCGTGGCCATGACATATGAACACGTGGGAACGTGATAAAATGTTCTGGCCACAAGATCCTATTGAGGGAACAACATCCATTTCTCATGGCCACGAGTTTAATGTGTAAACAATCGTAAAACAATATTTTATTTTGAATGAAGAAATTATTATATTAATTATTATAGAAATTATTACATTATTAAATTATTATATTAACCATAGGCCTAGGCGACCGGACTGTATTGCGCGTGATGTAGACAGCATTCAAATAAATTTTATCATGAATAAATGTTACCTAAAGTACATAAAATAAAATAGACATTTTTATCCATTAACTGATCGAGTTTTTCCATAATATTTGTATATTATTATTATTATTGTTTTTTTTTAAATTTTATATTCGTTGTTATGTATTTGATTTATTTTCCCTTCATTTTGATCTCTTATCGTTCTGAATAGTTTAGTAAATAATAGCCTACTGTAAATGCTGGACATGCCAATAAAGCTTTGATTATGCTGCATGACTGGAATTTTTACTGGAAGTGCAGATTAAAGGTTGAATTTAACATATATTTCATTTTATTTCGGCTAATTAATAGGCTATAATTATAAATAATATAGTGTTTCATTGAAAAATTAATCATTCGTGTATCATTTGTAAATGAAACACGCTCATTCATTACCGCGGGAAGTAGGGGTGCTGGGGGTGCTGCAGCACCCCTTGGAGTGTAGCCCACGAAAAAATGGGGGTGCGGTGTTAAAAATAAATTAATGAACAATATGTAGGGAACCATGGTTACATAAGTAACCTGAGACGATTTCACAGTATTCATTTAAACATTTAACCTAGATAAACGAGCGCTGTTAGGCGCAAATCCAATCGTTTGCGCGGAGAGTGGAAGCTAAAGCGCTGCAGGACATGGAGGCGCCAGCTCGATCACTTGCATTTTTTTTTAAGAACAGCGGAAACTTAAAAATCTCATAAAGGTAATAGTATACATCATTTGGAACTGCAAAGGGTCTGCTTGTATTTGTGTGCACTCACAATATCAACAAAACTTTGTGCTTTTGTAAAATAAGGAAAACAAACAGGATGCGCTTTCTGTCCTCTTGGTCTTGAGCAGGAGCGCTTCACCCACATGATAAATATATATAGAGAATGCTTTAAATGACTATTTTAAAACCTCCAAAAAAAAAAAAAGTCTGTGGCATCTGTTATTCTTTTGAACGTACACATTTTTTGCATATGGGCCCGGGCCTGACTTGCTACGCCACTGAATAAGACTGATGTACCCCCGTTGTAACACAAATAAATGTAAGGTTTTTGGATTTTCCCCTTACTTTAAATGCATGATTATGGCTAATTATTATTAATCGAAAAAAAACAACAAAAACATTCAACTTTGAACTTTTATTAACAAAATAAATTAAATGAACGTTTTATTAACAAAAGTTGCGCTTTGGATCCACCATCATATAGTGTCAGTTTTCTCGCATCACACTTGTCACGTGACCCCCCCCCATTTTATTTCTCAGCCCCTCCAGATCAAAATACGTTCCCGCGGCTATGCGCTCATTTATCATCACGCACAGGCGTAAATACAATCATAAAGTCAAAACTTGATTGGCATAATTGTCAGGTGTTTACAGTATTTGCAAAATATGGTAGCATATTAATAATAATTATACAGAGCGTTAATTAGGTAAAGCGATACGTAAATTGAAAGGGGAAATATACCAATTTATATAAAAATATAGCCCTATCCAGGTAATATAAAATAATAATAATAATAATATGCAAATATTAAATAAAAACACACAATCAGTTAAGAAATGTACAAGACTGTGGGATATATAAAAATGTTTTATCCATCTCTGATAATCGCAGGTTGCTCTGGTCACGCATTAAACTCATGGCCACGAGAAATGTTGTTCCCTCAACACAGGATCTCAAGGCTACGACATAAGGATGTCGTTACCTCGACAATGATCTCGTGGATACGACATATTATCACGTTGCCATGAGTTAATATGAACCGAACATGTCCCTCCGTAGACATCAGGTCTCAGTGTTGCTTAACATCTGAATTATTCAAACCAACAAGGAAAGGTCATCATGGAAACTACTTCTTGGAAATGGCCTGGAACATCTGTATGGAGCATGCAGCATGTGCGTGACATGGCATCATGGGTACAGAATGAATCATGCATAGTTTCGTTCTTCAACAGGAACAGTATGACAAACACATTCCGGAATTGAGGTACAAGGGAAACTATGAGGAATGGCAGGTTTGTTAGTCAGCTGCAGACCTGTACAGGTGTTATGTAAATATAGATCCAAATCTGCTGCATTGTAAAACCTTTACTTTAGTGTACGTATATTGTATATAGACAAAATTATACTAGATTTTGTTTATATTATTATAGTTAAAACATTTTGCTACTGACAGCTGCTAAATATGTTGACTTGGCAAATATGTATACAGTATTTACTGTAAACTACTACCTCTTCTGAGATCCTAAACATCTGACTTTATCATCTATCTTTCCACCTGGAAACCAGTAACAAAACCCTAGCAACCGCCTAGTAACGGCCTAGCAAAGTTGTTAAGTCTTAGCCTAAATGCCTAGCAATGACTCAAAATACCTTAATAACCACCAAGCAAGGTCTATATCTGTTCAAAATATAAAAAAATATGTCTTTAAAACGCTGAATTCAGTCACTCATCAACAAAAGTATTCATGTAAACATGTAATATGTAAAACATGTAAGATTTCATATTTTGATCTGATATTAAATCAATCTAACACTAAAATATTATCAGGCAACGGATACATTGCTTTTGTAGTTTTATTAATAATTGTACCACATATTGATTTATTGATATTCATCAAAAATAATAGCCATTGTAGACTGAAGCATCTTTTGTTTTAAAGGGGTCATATGATGTTTCTAAAAAGAACATTATTTTGTGTATTTGGTGTAATGAAATGTGTTTATGTGGTTTAAGGTTTAAAAAACACATTATTTTCCACATACTGTACATTATTGTTTCTCCTCTATGCCCCGCCTTTTTGAAACGTGTCGATTTTTAC